AGGGCTTTTGAGGTTTAACGGTGAGATCTGAATCCCCAAGCCTAGAGGATCCTCGCCTAATATAACCCAATGTACTATATAGTAGTTTCCATGTTATGTGCCATTATCCCTATATGGTAGTTTACTAAGATAGGGGTACCCCAATATAGACCCCAGAATTCTATAATCCTTATTATAGGGACACCCAAAAAGGTACCCCTAATTTTGGGAAATTCCCATATAACCCCAATATACTATATAGTCGTGTTAACAGTGCAAGGACTTTCAACAAGGGAGCCCTGGTTCTGGCAGCCGTGGATCTGCTGATAGTTGTTGATGCCCTCGTGTACTATGGCTGTTCCAAAATAGTATATTGGGGTTGTATAGGGATAATGGAACATGAAATGGAAACTACCATACAGTATACTTGGAGGTTATGTTAGGAGATGTCATTTCTACAACAGCTCTCCGCATTAGTCTTCATTCTCAAAAGATGAACAATGGCGATGAATCTGTGAAAGGTTCTTGGCGCCGCGTTTTCCGCAACTGGGATCCTGTTATGGGATCTTGGGGAGCGCTTATTGTCAATCACTGCCGCAGTACGGACTACTGCATCGAATAGATCTTTCTAATTTGGTCAGAGGTTTTGGAAAGGTTCTTCGATAAGTGTCTCTTCTTCACAGCTTGGGACATGGGATGGTGCATGGATTCGGTCAACTTGGTAGGGTTGCAAGGTGATTATGCGTGCTTTCCAGGCTGTGGTGAAGTCGCATGCTCCCAAATTCGTGTAATGTCGCAAGAGGTGTACCTTCCGCCTAGTGCGTCGCAGTCAGCTTCTCCAGGATAATCATGAATCCACGCACCTAGTGTGTATAGCTTGTCAGCCTTTGGCCTGTCAAGCAGCGGATAAGCAACCGCTAAACAATGTGCGAGTCAAACCACCGCAGCACATGGAAATGTTGGAGCCCCGACGCAAAGTTGAAAAAACACTCTCATGAACATTAGAGTAGACACCTTGAGCATAGCTCACGCTAAGAGGATACACAGTTCAGGCATGAGGCCAAGGCATATGAGTATTGGCCGAACACTGCTGAAGGTTCGCTGAGATCAGCGCGAGGGTTCAAGAGTTTCGGCGTCGGGGACAAGGCTGCAGGGCTTTACGCATTTTATGAACTGCATCCCGGGGAAGGACCTCCAGTTCTCTCGAGAAGGTTGGGCCCTTTAAGGCTGTCTTTCTGGAACGCGCCATATTGGTCCTAATTTGAGACGAATGTTAGCATATGAATGCCAAGACTGTCGGTTTGCCTCATTTGGGGGGGCATTGAGCAATGCAGCACTCGTCTCAAATCCAATACAGCTAGTTCCCACGTCGTTCTACGCCCATTCAGGGAAGTCTTTTCCTGTGGGTTATCTTCAGCGAACCATCCCCCTACAAAGTGCTCATTTACTTTGTGCTAGATCCCTCCTAAACCCAAAGGTTTAGAGTAACCGCCTCCTGCGAAGCCCCAGACAGCACCCAAGGCCTTGAACGCTACACAGGCGCAGAACGTTGGCTCCTTGCCCTGCAGGTTCCACAAGTAGGCCTTGGCAATCATGAGTAGGATTGTACTTTGGATATGTCAGCTTAGGATCTTTGTAGTCCAAAGCATTGATTTCTGTAAGTACCCACGGCCCACTCTGCCGTGAACACGTTTCTACTATAGTTATACGTAGAGCGTAGAATCAGAGGCAAATCCGAAAGTGCAATGGGCTACCCAGCCGCTTCAGATTCATTGAAAATCTAGCGCTTAGCGGGTCCGCTTCGTGCATTGCAAGGCGTAATCGTCAAAACTGCTGAGCTGCTGGCCCCCCCCCCCAAAAAAAAAAACGGCCAGTTGCTCGAAACGTCTCAATTTCCTCGCATGATAGCTGCACAAACATGAGTCCCCAATTCACTTGATACGGCTCTCTTTTGTTTTCTAGCTTGGCATGAGGCTCCCAAGAACCATCAACAAAGCCTGGAAAGCACAGCTAGGCTACTTGGTTCCCAGCAAAGTCATCGCACGTTTCGTCAAAGACTACCGCTCGCGAGGACTTTGCGCTAGAAGAGGCTTTAGGGCTTGGGCCTTGTTCAAGAAGCTTGAGAAATCAAGAAAAATTGTACCCGCTGGCAAAATTCTGCTTTTCATGATTGTGTCAAGATTTCGGGTCTGATGTAGCCGCCGGAGTAATTTGTAATACAGTTCCCTCTAGATTTGTGGATGTTGCCCCTCGACTTGTAGTAGACGATACCCAATGCGATCATTCTGAATATTCAGACTTCACATGTAAATTTCAGAGCCGGAATTCAAAGTTTGGGCGTCAACTTCGATTTCGTGCTATCCCCTCCATGCTAACGTTGCATGCTTGTGATATGCCTTTGGCTCCATCTGAGCCCTTCCCTCAAACAAGACATGAGCTACGGACTAACACTTGGTTGGGGGGGATCTACAAGGGGATGTATAAGGGGTTTAGGGGGAGCCGTTAAGGAACATATTATAACTTTAGTCCAGAGCTGATATAGCTGGTGTGTTTATGATGCCCACTTTGCACAAGAACAACACAATTAGGGGATAAGGGAATGTAATCCCTACATATTCCCTTATTCCTTCCAACCCTCAGTAAGCCTAGGGGGAGAGCCGAGCTTTATTTTCTGCAAATGGCTCAGGACATATACAGTAAGTCTCTTCTCCCTGACGCCTAACATCCCCTTGACTCTGAACATTGCATCTGTCTCCCGAGGTATTTGGCCTACTCCAGCGAAAATTTGATATCAGAGGGTAAAGGCAATACATGGCTAGGAATGAAGTTTCGATCTACTGGGGCCTCGGGGGCCTCAACATCCTTGAAGAGAGCACGTGGCATGGGCCATGTTGCGGAGTCCCGAAGGTGCTCAGAGGAGGAGTCTATGGGGAAGAAAGTGTCTGCTAGCAGTGTAGGTCTGAAAATAATAGGTGGGACAAACTTTCGTCCAACCATGGTATGATGGAAGGGGAGGAAGAAGATTGGGGGAACAGCTAGGGGAATAACCCACTGGCCCCCCCTCACATGGAGCCGTGAATCAGCTGATGTCCAAAGTTTCTTGCTGCCCAGGCTCTGGAAGGAGCTTGCAGCTACAAACCCCAGTTTAATAGTCATCCTATACCACGAATAAAGAACTCTATGTGAGCCCTTAACAGGGGCTTACTTTGTCAAAGCCTGGGCAGTCTGCGGACTTGCAGAGTTAGCCCTGGACTACTCCCTGCCGCAGTCTTTGTCAAACAGACTGCAAAGCCCCTAGTACAATATAGTAGCTTCCATTTTCTTTTCCATTTTCCCTAAATAACCCCAATGTAAACCTATATAACTCTATAACCACCCTATTGTCAATCCCGCGCTCCTAGCCGCGAGCCCCAAGGCTCCCTGAGCCCTGTAGCCTTGCACCCCTTACCCAAAGCCAAAAGCACTAAACCCGCAATTTGTTTTGATTAGCTCATCGCCATTGGGCTTGGGTGGCAAGCTTTGCCCTAACATCAAGAAGTGAGATTCCGCGCTTGGAATTTTGAGGCTTGGTAACCACTTGGTGGTTTCCCAAAATGAGGGGACCCCAATATAGGACCCCAAAATACAATGGTCCTGATTATAGGGACCCTCAAATTGGTACCCCTAATTTTGGGAACCCCCATTTCAGTTCTTAAGCCTTGTAGTCGACAGCTAGAAGCTGCCCTGGCCCAGCGCAGCGGCCGGAATGGTTAATGCACATTCAAAGACTTTTCTAGTCACTGGTATCTAGATATCCAGGTCAAGCCAAACCGCACCCAACTTTCCAGCAAGTGCGAAACCCAAATCCATAGAACTTCTTGACCCAAAATTCATGCACCTGTGCGCTCTACTTCTTAGTATCTCTGCGTTATCTAAAAATTTACAGTCTAGGGTTGTAAGCCCCCCGAGTGTTGAGAACCTCCATTGTGTTTGCAGGACGCTACACTCAGTTCTGCTTTCCGCCTTTTACATGGCAGTCGCTTCTGACGGAGGCTCTTCCCTAATTTGCCCAACCCCCCTTTGTGCCTGTATAGGGACTAGAAGGGATGACGGTGGGTATATTCGGGACCTTATATCTTCCTCCAACTACTCCTGCTACGACGACGACTACGACGACGACTATTACTACTACTGCTTCTAATATGATGCCATTATCGGTACCGTGGATCTCGGTGGTGCTTGGTAATAACTGACGTAACAGTTCATAGGATGACACGGCGCGCCACCTGACAACATACTATGACAACTTTCAATATGAGACATCACCCTCCCACTCCTGAATATGCATTTTCATATTAGATTAAACTGAGGGGTTTGATTAGCACGAATTGCTTTAGGGGCTTATTCGGGATTTAGGATGCAGGTCCATGGGTTGAAGGAAAGAGGGATTGGACCATGTAGGGGTTTTGGGTTTTAGGGACTGGCAGGAAGCATGGGGCCGGACAGTTATTGTAACGATGGTTGATATGATTAATGTTACGAGATCCATGGCTTACCGAGCACAGTAGTTGGGTCGGGCACGGCGCGAAATGGATGAAAATTGCAATAATGACAATGAAAAAAGAACAATACTTCGTAGCAATATATGAAGATGTGTAAGGAGCTTTGCTATCGAGATCCTTTTATGGTGCGGTATAGGGTGTGGAGTCCAGGTGTCAGGGACAGGCGGATCAGTGCTTGCTGTGCAGGCTTTGGGGAGTGAGGCATTTAGGCTTTAGGGGGTGAGGGCTGGGCAATAAACCCAACCAGAAACAGTATCAGGCAGGGGCTTTGTCCTTTGTCTTCCGGCTGCTCAGCAGGGAGTGAGTGGAGCAGCTCCTGTGAATTCTCCCAGACAATCCCCAATATCCGTCTCCACATTCAAGGTCAAGGCTCAGGTAGCTTTGCGGGTCCCAGGCCCTATGAAACCTCATCCTACAAACCCTAGAACCCCAACTTTGTAGTGCAATAACGCGGCACGGATTGACGCCTGACCCTGAGAGGACGCCAGGCGGTATTACCAGGCGCGTCTCTCTGACCGGTCAGGGATTGTTGGCCTTGCGTTTTGGAGGAAGTTTGAGGGTTGTGGAATAGCGGTTTGAGGTTGCGGGCTTGTGCTTGCTGGCTCCAGGGCTCAAGGTTGTTTAGCCTGAGTAGAAAGTTTTGGGTGTTCAGCTGAAGGTCTGGGGTGGGGTCTTTAGCGTGCTGAACAGGTCTAAGCTTGTTTTGCTCAGTGTGGAGGCCTTGGAGGAGTCAGTGATCAGCAAGTACCTTTGACGGGAACAGAGTCTGGGAGCTACCATGCAAAGGCCTGACACAAAGCCCACACCTCAAACTTATAGCCCCCTTTAAGTACATAGAATATGGGGTATATGGGGATCTTTTTATAATATACCCAAAGCCACATTCTTCTCTCTACTTAAGGGAGACTATACCCCCAAAGGATCCCACAGGTCCCACAGGGAGCCTTGTCATAAAGACCCATGTCTCTTCTTGGAAATATTCCAAGGGGAAGGGTAACTCGGAACCTGGGTTGTAGTAGGAACCCATCAAAGGGGTTGTTCGAAGAACTAGCTGCAGAACCCTGAAGATTGATAGGCCCCTTTATTACTTGAAAATTTTCAAGAGGGGACTTACCATGGGTTGCATATGAGCATGGCGACCTTCAGCCTGAAATTGGCGCCAGAGCTGGAGCTCGTGGACTGTAATCCACGGACTTCAGCCCGTGCTTTCACCAAACGCCTGCCCCGAATAGACTGAAGTGAACATCGCGCAGTCCAAATTGCGACTGGGGTATGCAGCGGTTGTGACGTGATTGTACTAAAGGCCTTAAAGAATTTGAGGAGGGCTGAGGGGTGTTGTCAGAACCTTTAGGGCCTGCAACCCCAGAAACCAGAAGCCCTACAAGTGCACTCTTACGGTTAAATTACCCACCCCCCCTGTTACTACAACCCATAACCCTAAGGTAGTTCCCTAGATTAGGGTCTCCCTTGATAGACCCCAATATACAATAATCCTGAATATGGGCACCCCCAAAAAGGTACCCCCTGATGTTGGGAACACCCGCAAGGTTCACCAACGGCGTTGTGGTGTGAGAATTTCTCATATCCACGCCTCGGCTGCTGGCAAGCTGAAGCCAGATGATGCCGCCTCGCTTGGTTTGAAAGGTACTTTCCATAAGTACGGGGACCCCAATGTAGACCCCAAACACTACAAACCTTACTGTAAGGACCCCGAATCATGCTAAACTTGGGAAACCCGCAGGTAGGGGGACCCTCCTTAAAAGGGGTTTGAGGGAAAAGTACCGAGGACCCACTGCATTGGGTTTAGGATGTAGGTTTACGCCTTGATGTAGATTTCGGATTTCAGCTGATCGAAGGCTGAGCGCTAGGGATGGAAGATTTTCGTGCGTAAGGCGCAGGGCTTAAGGTGTGGAAGAGTTCTAGCAATACACACCGAAGCCTCCGAGGCCCGGAAAGACGCATACTTCCACACCAAGCAGCACTGCATTCCCGAAGGCCTTCAGTTTTTCCCTCTCATGACTGAGGCCTGTGGAAGTGGGTGGGCACCCAGTGCAGGAGACGCATGGCGGTCTGGTAGTGGCCCGGTTGGGCGACACCCCCGGCCCGGGGCCCAAACGGATGGCCTTTTCCAAGGCCTTGCCATCGTGCGCCACGCGAAAATACCAGCGCTCAGGCGAGTGCTCACTGTGTTTGAGGACCATGGCGCGTTCGCAGAGCCCTGCGCTCTCCTCCCTTATGCTTTTGCATGAGCCCTGCGATGAGTCATGACGAGTCCTTCCGTGGCTGCATTGCCGGGCTGCTGGCCTGTTCAGCAAGGCCTGTACGTGTACACATCTAACAAGGAGCCTGAAGAGTGGCCTTAACCCTGAAGCCCTCTCGGACCCCTCACTAGATCGCACGCGCCGTGCATGCCCAAGAGGGGTGATGTGCCTTGGAGAGCGTGTTCCCACAGCTGTAGGATTTTGCTGCAGAATTGCTCTTCAAGCAAATATGATTTGTAGCGGTGTAGGAAGGTCTCATTTGCACAGGCCCTGCATGAAGGAGCTTCCGCATCTCAAAGCCACACAACTCATCAACAAATCGCTAGACTCTGCCAGCTCGTCGAGTGCTCATACGGATAGCCCTTTAGTGTTCCCTTGCATACCCTAGGCTAACATGCACATCCTATCCTTGTAGAACCGCGCCTCTCTTGGGTTCTACTTTTGTATGATGAGTTACTTAAGCTCTACTGTTTTTAGCTCCAAACCTCCATCCTTACTGCAACTGGAAGCCTACAGTAGCCCTTCTGAATCGTACACAATACCTGAGTCACCCATAGGGCATCTCAAAGCACAGGTGCTGCTTTCGATTGATGGGCAGACTGTCGGGCATGATGGCAAGGCGACTGGGGCGACAGCAGGCATTTTGTGTGGGGGTTTAGCAGGATGACAGACGGATCATAAGTGTCGAGGCGATCCCATAGTTTTGGTGCGTCTACTTGGTCTTGCTTTTCAGGAAGTGTGATAATGCTATGAGGCAAAGTTCCTGCCGCTTCTGCATCTTTCACAGGATACTTGGCTTCGTTTGCGTTTGATGTACGAATGCGGGAGTTGCCCATATGGCGTCACAAAGGTCACACAACTGCCACGCTTACTGGCATATGGATGCTGAGGCTGTTCCACTGGGCTCACAGGGTTTCAGGTTCAGTCCAGGGCTTTCCAGGTGTCCCACAGCAACCGTATCGAGTGTATGCAGACTAGTGCAGAGATTCGAGCTTTCGGAATCGAAGAAGCTTGACAGAAAATGGTGATTTTAAGTTTGTCCCCTCGCCTCAGCATGAAAGATAGCACCAGTACATGCATTTCTGAGCATTAGACCTTTTGCCCGCCAAATCATCTTAACGACTAACTGTTAGGACTCTTCTTTCCTCACGGAAATCTGTAATGCACACCTATCGCTAGATGGTAATGGACAGGTTTCCTGCCAAAGGGCCAGTAGCCAGAGCGCCAGGGTGTATTGCTTATGTAGAATATGTGGACACATTTGACCGTGCTATACCGTGCTAGTTTCACAAAATCTTGGGAGACCCACTTTGTCATTATCTGGTTGAGTCAATTGCCAAAATGAGCTGCAGTCTAAATTCCTGGAAAGGGTTTTATCTACATAGGGTTCCTATTACAGGCCTTATTTATGGGGCTGTTGTGAGTTTAGACTATAGCCCATATGAGGAACAACTGCCATACCGGCGGTGGGAAGGGGACGGGGAATCAATGGATCATCACCCTGGCAGTTAGAACGGGAAATGTGTGTAGATGTAGACATGCAGCATGTTGAAGTCCCAACCTGCATTTCCCAAAAAGATCTCAAAGCCGTATAGTACTCCAGATAGAGGCCATACCCCAATAATTATGGAGGGGGGTCCCAAATATGTAGTAGATATGGATAGATAAATAGTGTGTCCCACTTGGTTATGCCTGAAACAGCTGGCTCTACCTGGACCCAGCATCTTCTTCCTCTGTGGGGTCCCATCCTGTTTTGTATAGCAACTAAAGGCAGGACACACGGGGTCCCTAAAGCCCCTAGGCGCCAAGCACGTAACCCAATCGCAACTCCACTAAACTCTAGTGCCTTCTCACCGCCTGAGGTGCCTATGGACACTTGCCACACGCGCGTGTCGCTTTGGGTTCTCTTCGCAGAAAAGCTGACAAAGGAGTCGTGCATTTTGGCGAGTTGAATTCGCAGGGCTGAAAGATCACAAGTTCTCCCAGCTACAAGGAAAAGACATGGTCTTCATTCAACACACTTGTGCCCTAAACGTTTAAAAGCAGTCCCTTTATGAAGGCTGATAAGTAAGCAGATGCTTTTGGATGTGGTGTTTGTCAATGGTCTTTCGTCAACGCAGCCCTACAGAGAAACCCCAACGCGGCGCTTTTCATTCAAGAGGCTTAGTGAGCCCAAAGCACTAACCCAAACGTGCCCGACTCCCTTCCCATGCTTATGATCCTTCAGATCGGCGGAACAAGCCTAAATCGAAAAGCTGCCCACGGAAGCTTTTGAGGGGACTCCTGTACTGATTTGATTAGAAGAATGTCTATACGTCCCTATGGTACCCTAAGCCCACATCCCTTATCCGAGACGGTTGGGGTCATAAATTGACAAGAGAAGCCCAATTGATCCCAAGCAGTTTAGGGCTGCAAGATTACAAGAGCATAGGATTAGCCACGTCATAAGCGCCCGAATCTGCTGAATGGTGACCAGTTTTCAGTAGGGTACTAGATTGCTGTACAGTTTCCATGATGGTCCCCCTGTTGGAGGCTTGGTTCCAGAGCATGCCGACCATAGGAAGCCGTGTGCCCCTGAACCCTACCCAGACCCCTGGGAGGATCTAAAAATTAGATCCCCTATATAGACCCATTATAACCCCAGTCTAATCCTTATATAATTCCCCCTATGGTTCTAGGGGATCTAATTGTTAGATCCTTTTGGGGGTCTGGGTATAGACCTACACCCTGCTAGCGAAGCATCCCTAAGCTCCAAAGCCGGGTCAAGTCCAATGCAGGTTCAGGGCTCAGGAATTCTCCCATATACCCACTATATATTGTAGTAGTTCCAATTTTCTTTTCCATTATCCCAGTATAAGTCCTATATGACCCCAATATAACCCACATATTACTCCAATATAACCCACATATTACCCCAATATAACCTCAATATAACCCAGGGCCTATTATAACCCCTATATACTATAGTAGGTGCGGAGCTCTTCTTTGTTCTTTCCTGAGCTCAGCTGAAAAGTCGACCTGGATTGTGGAAACAATCTTCAGGATGACCTACCAAAGAACCCCTAGGTACTTCTTAAGGGTTTAGGGTTTAGGTCTAGGTACTTCTTAAGGAGGGTTCATGTCCAAGTTCCAATCTAGGCACCATACGCATCTTGCGCAAGAACAAGGAGCAGGACAGCAACTGCCATTGGTCCATGTGTAAGCTCATGGGTTCTCAATCCAACCCTGCCTACTACCCCATCCGAGTCACCCCTAACTTAGCTTAATCAACCCTGCATAAGCCTGAGCCTAAGGGGAAGTAGTACAGGGGGGTTGTTAGGGAGGTCACAGTTGTATAGGTCTGGGAGGGGGAGCAAATAGGCAGGCAAAAAAACGTTGTAAGCAAGCAATAGCCTTACATAGAAATACAAACAGATGTATAAATAGATAAATGTACATATATATATATACGCATAATCTCATAATCTTGTGTTGTATGCCTAGGCCATAGATCCTAAACCCAACGCCGCTTCATGTGCGAGATGAATCCACTGTTTTCCTAGGCAAGGACCTTTGTGATAGTCCCAGCTGCTCCTCTAGTCCCCCTTAAGTAGATAGAATATGGGGTATATGGGGATCTGATTATAATAGACCCAAAGCCATATTCTATCTACTTGAGGGGAACTATACCCTACGAGGCCAACTTGGGTCCTGAAGCTCCTTGGTCCCAGATGCCCGTACCCCAAAACATGGGTTCCGATAGCGTTTCAGGTGGCAAGATTACAAGGTGCCTGAGGTAGCCCTGGGCTTCTTTCTAAACCCCGGCTGATGCGTTGATGAAGTTCTCAGCTGCTTTGGCTAGATTGCCCGACTACCTCCCCCAATCGGAGTCTGCGTGACCAGATTGTTTATCACTTCTTTGATCTCTCACTGGTCTAAGCATCAAAAAAACAAACTCTTGAGACGCTGCCTGTTGGGTGGTTCCAAAAAAGCGCGGAGGGTCCCTGTTTGCAAGTTTTCCAGTCCCATGTTGGGACACCGTATTGCTGGAAACCCTCATGTCAAGAGACCCTTAGAACCTCAAATTAGCCCAAGCCCCACACCATAGACCTTACTCCTTGCAGAAGTATGCCCGTAGATTTTAGCCCTTGTCCTGCAGTACCCTTAGCCCCAGTCCTTCTATTCCTGAACCTGAAGACCGTGCAAGGATCTGACGGTGCGATTGAAGCCCTATCGCCCAATCATTCCGGAAGATCCTTACTGTCCAGGAAGTCATGGGCGAAGGGTTGAAATTTTCATGACTTGAGTATCCTTGGTGTTCAGACTTAAAGGATCCAATGGGAAGCTACATTCTTCACACAGCTCTGGGGTCTCTTATGCAATGGTGCAAGCAATGGGGACAGCATTCTTCATCATTCAGCTGAGCAAGCTGGGCAGGTGCTCTTGTTCTGTTTCGGGTTGCAACACGTGTATACACACTGCTCTTGCAGACTCAGCGCTGCGGATGTGTGCCTGCGGATGGGGGGGCCGAGGGCAGGGAATTCGGCAAGTGAACACAGGGCAGTGACTTGAGAGTCTTGAGTTGCTCTGATTTAGGGGTCATGGGCAAGCCTTTGTGGGGTTGAGCATGGAGGGGCTTGGTTTTCAGGAGTGCTTCGCCCGCCATTTTCGCTTAGCACAGGGGATGGGTGTTTTTTCATCCTATTTGAATGCAGAGGTGTGGGTACTTCCTTTCCTTCTGCCCTGCAGCGATTCAGGCTTCTGCAGGTCAGGATGGAAAAGTGGCAGTAATTACCAGAGACATCCGAAGCTCGTAGTTAACCCAGGTGACGCGCTTGGGGGATCAGCCTGTACCAGCCATGGTTGCATTGCGAATGTTTGGGATGGAGGAGTCAAGGTCAAAGTTCAGGTATAGTCTAAACTCCCAAAGTGGGTTGCACAGCGGATTATATAGGGGAATATGTATAGGGGTGATTGAGTGGGAAGCTAGGAGTTTAGACTATAGCTCACATGTTTCCAAACTCCAAGACGAGCCTCGACCCCCAGCGTTTGGAAAGGAACACAGGATTACTTCATCGTCGCCGGGCTCGTGTTCCAGCCTGTCAGCGGTACCCTCGAAGCCCTATGGCAGTAGCATCCTCCGAGTTAATGTGGAACCGCGTATGGTTATGTTTGAACAACATTGTAGTTTGGGAGGCTATGTTAGAGGCTAGACAGACCACATTTATCATCCACAACTCTTGTGTACCGGCCCATCAGAAATCCTGTTCTTAGACTTACTGGTGATTCGTAGGGAGAATGGGAATATAATCCCGATATAATGTGTTCGCATATTCCCCACTAGCCCCCGTTAAGTAGTATTGAGAACGCAAGCAGAAGCCGGAGGCCTTCCCTGGCGATAATCCGCATGACGGCTTAGGCTTGGGGAGGTTGCCCAATCCCGCTTTACTTACTCGGGATCAATAGGGAATAAGGGATTATCGGGTTAAGGGTAAAGGCAATATATTGAGGTTATAGTAGGGAAAAATGAATATTATGATATATGGGTTAGTTGCATTGGGATTGCATTCCCTTATTCCCTACTAACCACCAGCAAGTTGTGGCATTCCTATAGGCATGTACCTACGGGACCTCTTCAACATTGGCGAGGAAGCGTCGACGCGGCGGATGCGTGAACGGATGAACCTTTGCAAGCAAGCCCTTACATGAGCAGCTCTCTAGGGCTCAGCATGGAGGATTTCCTGTCCACATTTTGAGTAGCAAGGGATACTAAGAGTGGACGTGAGGTTCTTTGTGGTCTTTTTAGCTAGGCTCGAAAGTGTCCTTTCCGACGGGCAGGCTGCCCTCTCCAGCTACACAAGACACGATGACTGCAGCTTAAATGTGATGTTTGGCGGCTTCAGTAGGAAAGGCATGCGTAGTACCAAGAAGAACATGAGAAGTACATGGGGCTTAGGGCTTGGGCGATTGTTGAGGCTTCGGCCAAAGGAGCTGCAGGATGCTGTTGGTTGGCGGCGTGCAGGCTTACATAGCGTCAGGGGCGAGGGCTTGTGGGGTAGGGTTTGGGGCTTCGGAGGTGTAGGATTGCGGCATGCAGTCCAGCACTGGCATCCCTTGCTTTTTCAGAGCCACGGACATGATTCATACGCCCAAGCCTTCCCTTCCGGTCTGACAGATCCAATCCAATCTTTTCACTGCTCACTGCTTAGATCTCTCCCTAAGCCCTGCGCTAGCTATGGGGTCGCTGCATGTCTGTCCTCCTTCGGATGTGGAATGCTGATGGTGATGCAGGATTTATGGACTCAACAGGATTGCGCACTAGGGATGTTTCAGACGAGCTTCGGTTTTGAAGCGCAAGCTTCGGGCGAAGCCACTTGTTTCAGAACGTCGGCGGAAGCCACTTGCTTCATAATTTTGGTTCAGAGCTTTGGGCGAAGCCAAGCTCCGAAGCTACTGGTTTCAGAGCTTCGGAGCTTCAAGCAAAGCTACTAACTTCAGGGCTTTACTTGCCTAAGGGCTTCAGGCGAAGCCATTAGCTTCAAAAGTTTCGGTCAATTTCCGAACCAAATAAGTCGGCCCGTCCTTAACAGTATCCACCTTCATAAGCTCTCTCTTTGCAGCTACACTGCAGCTACATGCGACGGACCCTTCAAGCCTTTGAGCCGAAGCCCTTGAGAACAGCTGAGGAACAGCTTGAAGGATTACAGCTGGTGTAAAGAGGCAGCGGACTGCCTGTTTTTGCAGAAGTTAGGCCGTGGGCGTGGAAAGCTCAAGGAATGATGCCTGCATCACCACGACATGATAAGTCTGCAAGGCCATAGCACAAGCACAGCAACTACATCCCAAGCCCAAGCCCCCAAAGGCGAACAGCCGCCAGCCCTAAGTTGTGCAGCCCTGAGCTCAACTCCGGAATCCTCATCCCTGAAGTACTATTTGCAAGACAGTTGTCTTCCTGTGTGAAGTGGGAGGGTGGGAGGGTATGCAAGTTACGGATGCCTGTATGTTTAGTTAAGAGGGATGATAGCAGCGCATGCTCTCAACCCCTGGCATGGCATGCAAAATTCAAAGGTCCGAGCCCTGAACACTGACCCCCGACACTTGTAGCGCTGAGTGCCACATCTACAAATTCGCGCTTGTTCTAGATCTGAATCCTGAAGCTGCAAGACCCCCCCCCCCCTATCCTGTAATTACGCCTTAAGTGTCAAAGCCCTGAAGTCTCAGAGCATCTTTGCTTGAAGGAGCAGGCAGACGGCAGCCCCTGGGACTACTTCAGCAATCATTCTTGGGATCCCCTGAGCAGAGTTCAAGGCCCAGGGTTAAGAATGAATCGCAAGCCTTATGTCTAGATTAAGAGCACCCCCCCCACCCTGTAAGAGTGGTATAATAGGAATATAAGAGAGGACCCAAATATTATCCTCATTGTCTCTCATAGTCACTATTACAGGGTGGGGGGCCCGCCTAATATCTAGATTCTAAATGCTGGTAAGGCACAGCTTAGCAAGGCCTGAGAGCAGTTTGAAAGCCTTTGAGCTCACAGGCCTTGAGCCACAGTCCCGCAACTTTGCATCCGCTAGTGCGCTGCTCGGAACCAACCGGCAAGCTGGAAAGGATTCCGATTTCCTGCCCCAAATTGCAAAAGGCTGTATTTGAGTGGATCCCTAGAGCAGCCTCGGGATGGTGCATACTCCACTGAGGCAATAGATTCCTAGTTCTCGGCGATGTGCTGCAGCATCCCGTCAATGTGGGCGTGTCCTACTACCAGGCAAGCTTGCACCCGAGCTCCTGTTTTAGGGGACCGCACCCGAATTACATTGGGAGTGTGCTTGGAGGGTGAAGGGCATGCACGAAACCCGAAGGGGATTTAGGGTCTAGCGGTCCTGGTAAGAATGGCAGGGTAGAATGGATGTATATTGCACTGCACAATCTGGCAGTGGATCAAGTCAATGGTCCTCAAGCCTAAACCCTCAATACTTGTAAACCCTACACAAACCCTGTAGAAACCATGTCGTACCTAGACTCCTAAAGCCCAGGTGATGCTGAACCCCGGAGCTGGAAACTCTGCCCTGAGGGTGTAGGGATAAGGTTCCAGTTACACAGGAACTCTTTTGGGCCCTAAGCATATAATATATACCTACACAATGGACCCTTTGGGCTATTGAACTTGCTCGAGGTAGGAATGGCGACTCAATCTTCGCCAAAGTAATGGAATTGAACGCTGAAGTCCCGATACTCTCAAACTTGCCGACCAAATTCCTGACTCTTTTAAAAGAGATCACCCCAACACAAAGTCCAACGCACCCTGTGTATGATGTGCGGTAACGCTTTCAGCTGTAGCCCAAACGCTACACTCGGAACCCCTGGACCTTAAACCCGAAGCTCCAAAGCCTTCAAATTGCAGCGCAAACATTGAAAGCACTAAGCCTCTAATTATATATGCACTCTAAACCCCAAACGAGGTCCTGCGCACCTTCAACGGACAGTCGGTTCGTGGCCTGAGGGGCCTTGCCTCCGCTGTAGACAAGTGCAAGAAGGCCTGTCGTAGGCAGGGAAGTGGGGTTTAGGGATCCAGGATTTGCTAGGGTTCAGGGATTTAGGATGGTAGTGCTTATCCCCAGTTTAGGGCTTCAGGCTGCGAGTCCAGTCGCGGACTCCGAGCCCGAATAGCTATAGATGTTACAAGCCCCATAGGGTCTGATTCTGGCTTTCTCGGTTCTTGGAACCCTCAGCCCTATGCTACAAGGGTTTAGGGTTTAGTGATGTCTTTGGCCTTGGCGTGTTTACGCGAGTATTTCTGGTTCGGGGCATGCTTAGACCAAGCGCCTTCAGCATGTAGCACCGATAATTAATGGAACCTGTGGTTTCAGGATGTACCGTGAGCATTCGAAAGTGCCACGGGAATTTACAGAAGAGAAGCCATAGACTTACATAAGTCCTAAACCTTGATCCCCACATGCGTGAAAGGGCTTCAGACTTGGAAAGTCGAATTGTATGACTGACGTTGGTTTACATCCTGGCGGTAGGGGTTTAATCTTGGGTGTTATATATTCAAGGTACCCTGATGGACAGTAGCAGTATGTAATTCTCAAGGCCCCCAGAACAATCTTGTGGCATAGCCTAGCCCTGCAGCAATCCTCAGCTCCAACTCCTTCGTAATTCCAGGTTTGGTCAAGGAACATCGACACGGCACCGTAAATTCTGGGCTCTTGCATTTGCTGTTAGGCAAGACAGGGTTGCATGCCATCGCTCCACGCTGTAAGAAGAGGAGGTGATGCTACTGCTGTTGCTGCTGCTGCTGCCGCCGCCACTTCGCTGCGGCTGTGAGTGGTGGTCTTGGTGCTGGTGGTTCCTCATGGTGGTGCAGGTGCAGGCGCGTAATTGACGCCGGGAATTGTTCATACCGAGAAAAAAAAGTGCCTTGATCAAAGCCAGAACATGCTGCCTCACATCCCAACACTTACACAGCTTTCGCGAAATTAACAGATCCGGAAAGCCGTAGCTTCCAAACGAAACCTATTCTTCCCCAGACCCTTACCACCTCCAACCCCATTTCAAACGCATTCTATGGCAGGACTGGATGCGTTTCGAGTTTCTGGACGATGTCATTTGTGTGATGTCCGCGAAGCAGGGCCACACTGCAACAAAAGAGGCAGGCTGCTTAGCAGTAAATACCTCAAGGGATGACAAAGCAGGTCTGCGGGTAGTTGCGTATGGGCATTATCTTACGTCATGATTGTTTATTGCACATGCATGTACATCTGTGTGTGTAAAGCTGGGGGCTCTGGATTTGGGTCTGGCAGCTTGGGAATTGCAAGTAGCAGATGTTAAGGTTCCAAAGTAGCAGCACTGTGACCTTTCGATCGCAAGGTAGTCTTAATTTCCTACGAAGTTTTATAAGGGAGTCTTCCTACGGGGTTATGTAGGGGAGTTTGTTGGGGTTTATTATGGAGGATACTCGGAGGTTAAATTCTTTTCTCACCTAGGTACCTGAGCCCTTGAGGCATCCGGCAGGGCAGTCACCGGTTCACGTGTCGCTTGTGGTTCTGCGCGGGAATTGGAATTGCCTTGAAGCATTGCCTTGAAGGGCTTTTAATGCCGAGCCTTCCCAATT